GAAGACATTGTTGGAAGAATGTTGGAAGTTTAGGGTTTCAGTGAGAAGAGAGGAAGAAAAGATTCAGAATGTGGGAAGAAAAGAAAAAGAATAAGTTGATGGGTTTTTATAGTGTGGAAGTTTAAACATCCACTGAGTAAGATTGTGATACGTGGTAGTCGTGGGTTGGTTTGAGAAGGAGGTGGCGTAAAGTTAATATTGGTAATAGGCGTGATTAAATGATAATCATTGTTTTGTAACTGCACCATGCTGTGAAATGGTTCAAGGCGGTTAAGGAATCTGAAAAGCGTCATGATTGACGTGACTGGAGTCATATGCAATAAATGTTACGATGATTCGAAGGTCGCATCAAAATCTTGTGTATATGTTTAAAATAAGTATTTCTCAAAGGAATCGAAATACATATTTTAAAGTGGCATTTTGTTGGCTGAAGATTTTGATGATATTGTTCGAAGCAAAGCAAGTTGGGTGTTTCGATTGGAATAAAGCAAGATGTCATGTTTCGAAATGGTAGAAGCAGTACTTCGAATGGGCATATCAAAGCTTGGAGCTTCGAGTGACAGTTATGAGGATATCTTCAAAAGAAGTCTCGAAGTGGTAACAAGGCTGTGTCCAAGAAATGCGTTCGAAACGAAGAAGTGCCAAAACATTTGAAATTCAAATGCAAACGGGATGTTCGAAATTTAAAATATATGCGCTGGAGCATTCAAAGACGCGTGGAAGCTAGAGAGAGGCATTGCTCTGCATGTTCTGAACGTGGCAGAATCTTATAGCAAGACCGTTATGGTCGAAGTAGTATAAATAGAAGTCTTAGCATTAGGATTTCGTGTGTCATATCTATTGTACAAAAAACTCAGTAAACATTCAAAATACCACATGGCTAGGGAAACGAATGCACGAGCAATGTACGTATGATAGCACCAAGTGTTTATGATTTAATAAAACTCTTTATCATTTCCAGTATTTTCCTCTATCTTCATGTCAATATCATTCAAAAGCCTTTGCATTAAAATATTTTCATTCGAAGTCTTTTTACTGATGCCTTACATTTAAATGTTTTTCTTTCCATTTCAAATACTTTACATTTCAGAAACTTTTGTATATTTCATGCCTTTATCTTCATGCCTTTATTATTCGAACACCTTTTTTTCATTTAAAGTCATTTTACTGTTTTCTTGCATTTAAACGCTTTTCTTCATATTTTGAATCTTTTACATTCCAGAGAATCTTTTACATTACATGTTTTTATGCTTCGAAGTCATTTACTTGTCTTTTCTACAGTTTTACATGTCTTTACAATTGAACTTTATTCATGCAATTTAGTTTCGCGCGCATTTACTTGATCACGCCTTTAGATCTTTAATAGAGTAATCGAAGTAAGTTAAACACCTACACAACATTCTAAATACCAACCATGAATACCAGTTCTATAATGAGAGTTATCCAAATGACCAATACATCCTAGGATCAATCTAGTCGATCCTGCGAGTTACCAGAGAGATTGAATAACAGTCATTAAGATTATTCGATAGTTTGGAGGACTAGCGGTTGTTTACCAGAAATAACTGTAAACAGAAGCTTGAAGATAAATTTTAGGATTTAGGAATTTTCATATATTTGTGTAATCTTTGTAACCTTGCAATTCCCAAAATTTGTAATGAATGATATTTGAATGGTCATGAAATCCCCTTGATGAACTTGAATAGATTTTGATTTTTTTGTGATGAATATTTGGATGATGAATATTGTAATGAAACACAAAGAAGTTGCTTAAAATTTGTATGAAATTATGGATGTATATTGCAACTTTGAATGAAACCTGACAAAGTTTTTCAAATGGATTCTTCTCCCAAAATGGTTTTGAATTCAACCATGCCATTCAAACGAAACTCACCCTTCTTTTCAAAATTCAATGAGTTCAATTATGGACTTTTGCAAACCCACTTTGAATACTTGAAAAGAATGCCTTGTACCAATAATAAATTCACCTTGTATCATGCATGTATAAGAACTCGAACCAAACCTAAAAGGCATGTCAAATCTTAATACTTTGTATCACAAGCCATGGTTTACTGAAAACATATCTTTGAACCATATACACACAAACCCTAACTGAAATGAATGATGGATCCATATCCCATCTCTTCTCTTGAACAAAAAACCAAAACCCATGCCTTAAAACCCAAGCAACAAGCATACATTGCATTGATGAATGATAAAAGACGACATTTCAATGCACTCTTGATGAATGATGCACCACGTGCCATATCTTGACAAAAACCCTATCTTAGTGGATAACTCATCCTATGAGAAGACAACTTGATTCTAACTCACAAAGAAGTCCTTGTATATGAATTCACACCCATGAGTGAGAAAACAACCATATCTTGTTGAAACCTTGAGTACAATGGGAAAAACCTTAATCCTGGGGAAGATCGATGAAGGAAAGCTTTTAATACTGAGGAGGAACCCTAATTTACATTGTACTAAAAAACAAATCTTCTGAAGTACAGAGAAATAAACTCTAATTCAAGACCTCGATGAATTTTGGAGAAGAAAAACCTTGGTAGCTTGAAGAGAAAGGAATCTATGATAACAATACTTCACAACCCGAATTCTATACTTCACTACTTGCAGAAGAAACAGAAGCATCGGAAGAAACCGGCCTTATACACCTTAACCACTATAAAACCCTAATATTGTAGATCTTTGAAACCAAGATGCTTTATGAATGAATGAATGTTATGCTGATGAAATGAGAAGCCTAAGCCAGATAAAAGAACGATATGAAGGAAAATTTTGAGGTGCAACCATGATACTTGACAGACCTGACATATCGTCGTTCTTTGCCACTTCTTAGCCATACTCGTCGATGTCTGTTTTTTGTTGATATGACCCAGTCAAACTCGTTGTTTGATGCACATCGTTATCGTCAAACCACTACCTTCGTTGGACCTTTGTCGGATCGTAAGAAGGTCGCTATTGAGCTCCACAACTCCACCATTACGTTTCTAGCACCGTTGGCCTCTGCCACCAGCCAACTTCTAATCGATAGACTATCACCACCCATCGGATTGCCCCTGCGGCTTTGGAATCTTCTGTTGACATTCTTACCACTTCTCGATTTTTTGATTTTTAATAAACTGAAATCATATTTTTTTTCTTTTCATCCCTCAAAATTTTAAGGATAATGAGCCCAAAGATCAATATCCCTTTGTAACCATGGATGAGACATCACATTCCCTATTTTATTGTCATTAATCCTCCATTAACTATCATTCAAAAGCACTTCTCTAGAATTCAAAATACTATTCCAAGAGTAACTAGGATTGTAATCAAGATTACATACATGAAATCAATAACGGAAAAATACCTAGCTTTGAGAATTTTAGCCACTAACAATCCCTTGTTTATAAACCATAACCAAGTTGAAAGCTTGAAAATTTAATGATAATAAAACACTAGTAATCTAGAGTAAGGAAGGAAGTTGATTTGGGCGCTTGACATGAACTTATGATATGGCCTAATTAAAGTTCACCCTCTTTAAAAGTCTTATTTAATTTAAATAAGTCAAACTTACCTCTCCTAGAGAGTACTTCTTTATTTTATAATATATGTCATCTTTTCTATTTTTATTTGTCTCAAATTATTTATCTCTTTAAAATATTAATGTGATGTTTTTTATTTATTTTTATTTATTATATTTTAATTTATATAATTACTCTCATATCTATTATTAATAAAATTATTTTAATAAATAAAATTTATTTTATTATTAAAATCGATATTATTAATTATTATTTTAAAAAATGTGAAAATCTATAAAAAAAAAATTTGTGAGACAGAGGTAGCATATTATATCTATCAAACAACATGTATATATAATTAGGATATAAAATAATCAAAATCTAAACACAAAATTCACATTATTACTTATCAGCCTATTGACCATTTTAAGAATAAGTCAATTGTATTTTTTTAAGATCTTAACAAAAAAAATTTAAATAATAATTAATCGGACTAAACTTCTAAAAATTCAAAAAAAATAAAATTAACCCAACTAGTTTCCACCCTAATCTTGAGTACAATTACTAAACAAAACCGTCCAAATCAATTGAAGTTAGTACGTAGTACAACTATATTATTCTATTCCGGATAGTGTCACAATTACTTTTAAGGACGGCAGAAAAATTCAAATTCAACTTTTTAGTACAACTACTTTAAAATATTATACTGTAGTTAATTAAGTCATATTAACTCATACTGAGTATAGTTCATGTGTTAATGTTATATTTAATAAACTCTAGTACTTTGGAATCAAGTTGTTGCATGACTTTATGTTTGTTAGAGTGAAAATGAAAGCCTTAATTATTGAGATATACCATAGATTGACTATTGGCTTCAACTTGACAAATATTGAATTTCAACTCTTTACAGATTTATACGTAAATTTGGACAAAATCAATAGCGGTTTGAGATGGAAAAAATTTCTGAATATAAATTTGAAAAGGAAAATGAAGGTTTCTCTCATCTCCAATATATAGATGATACAATAATTTTTGGTGAAAAGAAAATGGAGAATATAAGGAGTATTAACACAAATATATTGCTGTTTAAATTGATGTCAGGTCTGAAAATAAGTTTTTAGAAAAACTATCTGTATGGGATAAACATATGTCATTGTTGGCTTCGAAATGCTGCAAAGAGTTTGAAATGTAGGGTTGGAGAAATCCCATTTACATATCTTGGGATATCTATTGGAACTAACCCAAGATCTAAGAAGGTGTGGTTTTCGGTAGTAGAGACTCTGAGATCTAGGTTATCAAAATGGAAACACAAACATTTATCATTTGGTGATAGAATCGTTATGATAAAATCTGTTTGTCGACAATACCAATTTACTTCCTATCGTTCTTCAAAGTTGTCGCAGGTATCATCTCTAAACTCGAATTTTTGTTTAAAAATTTTTTATGGAGGAAAGTGAGGAAAATAGAAAAATCATGTGGATCAATTGGGCGAAAGCCTGTAGACCCATAGAAGAGAATGGGCTGGGAATTAAGAGCTTGAAGGATTTTAATAATGCGCTATTAGGTAAGTGGGTGTGAAAAATTAGTAAGGAGAGAATGAGGTTGTGGTATAAAGCGTTGATAGATAGATACGGAGAAATCGAGGTCACATCGGATTTTAATGACATTCTCAGTTTGTTATGGTGGCGAGACATATGTTGTTTAGAAATAGGTCACATAAAAAATTTCGAGATATACTGTGAAAGATAGATACAAATCGATTCAAGTAGAGAATAGGTCTGAGATACAAGAAGCTTGGACAGAGAAATTGTCCTTTCAAAAGTCTCGTGCCTAGTATGGAGGTTACTTCATAATAGATTACCAACCAAAGAAAACCTAGTTAGAAGAGGATCTTTAGGTCAGGAAGAAATTTAGTGCAGTGGCGGGTGCGGTGTAGCTAAAACCGTATCTCATATTTTCTTTGAGTGCCCTAATTTTGCAAGTATTTGGATTCATGTCATGAGATGGCTTGGAGTGCAATCAGTTTTACCAATTGGAAGTTGGGAGTATCTTGAACAGTTCGGTTCGCTAAGTGGCAACAATAGGATCTCAATCCAAAGGGTTAAAACTGTTTGGTTCGCCTGCATTTTGATTATCTAGAAAACAAGAAATAATCTGATTTTCAACAATAAAGCTACGACAATGGATTAAATACTCAAAAATGCTCAAAGGCTGTCCTGGTTCTGGTTAAGCAACAAAGACATAAATATCTGCTACAATCGTCAGACGTGGTACAATAGCTCCTGGCCAATTCTCGGAAAAGGATGAGCTGATGCGACTGCTAAAACAGGATGCTGTAATTTTGTCGTGCAGGCTCCTGTCAAAATTGGCTATTGCAGCCGAATCTTTTGTCATCATCCCTTTGTTGTGTATCTTGGAGATTAGGCAATGGTCGCGCAGGTTATGATGGATATCGAAAATATAGATTATAAGCTCAGAGTTTGTCGTTATTTTTGTTTTAATACTGCATAAGTGGTGTCTAGCGTTTCAGGGATAAGGTTATTTGAAGGTTTGGTGGACTAGTTTTGTAACTTGTTGTGATTTATCTATGTAATTGAAATGCTTCTAATAGTATCTAAAAAGTGTATCCTGTGGGTTTATTCTAACACACCTTGTACTAAATAATTTATCAATTCATTTAGGTTTTTTAAAATAAAAAGAAAAGTATGAATCACTATAATAGATGCTTCTTTTTTAATCAATTTACCATCAAATTCTTCGATCGAGGCACCTTATGTATCCCTATAAATGCTATACAATTAATGCATACTTGGATTGCTGGTATACTTCCTGTTTATAAGATTATTTTAAAATACTTATTACTAGTAGCATTTATATGTAAACTATTCTACATATTTTTAGTTGCATATATTATTGATTTTCATTAAAATATGAAAACTTGGTATTAAATACTTTAGTAATATATATATATATATATATATATATATATATATATATATATATATATATATATATATATATATATATATATATATATATATATATATATATATATATATATATATATATATATATATATATATATATATATATATATATATATATATATATATATATATATATATATATATATATATATATATATATATATATATATATATATATATATATATATATATATATATATATATATATATATATATATATATATATATATATATATATATATATATATATATATATATATATATATATATATATATTAAATTTCTTAAATAATCTTATAGATATAAATAAACGGTCGAGGAAGATTTAATTGGTAAAAATTAAGTTCATATACCAAGCACTGAAAAATTATCGATTCAGTTCTCATTGATGATAGAAACTATTTGATGGATAATTTATAATGAGAGAAAAATTTGCATAGATAGGAAATTAAACTTTTATTCTTAGAAATAGTTACTAAGAAGAGAATAAAATTTAAATTTGTTTTAAAAAATTTTTTTAATTAAAATTATAGACTGATTGTGATGATAAAAAGAGAAAATATTTTAATTTTATTTTTTAATTAATAAAAAAATTTGATTAATTATTTATAAAATCAAATGTTATATTTGTGTTTATCTAAATTTTTTTCATTATAATAATATTCATAAATATTTTTTAAACTTTAAGGTTTACTTTGATTTTAGGGAATTTCTATCAAACTCACTTAAATAAAATTGAAATAAAATATGAATAGTGAGTTAGATAGAAATTCATTAAAATCAAAATAATAAAATTTAAGATTTTCTCATTAAATATATCGATCTTTATTGATAAAATATAATATGAATTGATATTAAATCTAGTTAAAATTAATTAGTACATAATAATTATATTTATATAAAATAAAAATAAAAAAGTGAAATTTTTATTCAAATAACTCATTTTTTTAATTTTATTTTCAAATTAACCTATGTTTAAAAAGAATCCTTTTTCAAAAAAAATAATTTGGCTGTAGAGCCAGCATCAGATGAATCAGCGACTCCATTATAAAAATAGAGGGATGCACCAATTGATTGACAACTCCATCTAGTCTATCCAATCTAATTGGCGCTAGTGTGCTATGCTTTAAGTGAACGTGCTAGTTGAATTAACGCCTGTGTGCAATGTTAAAGGGTGGCGCCAATTCAACTGGCAACAATGTGTTGAATGCTTTTTTTACTATAAATAGATGTGTCATTTAGCATTCACGCCACATCACCTATTCTCAACTTTAATAGTTCTATGATGATTATCAGAAGAAGTTGGCATGTGTTTTATTCATGAACGACGTATCCGATGAAAATGTTTTTTTGGAACATTCAAAATTTCGAACATCTTGAAAGGAGTTTGAACTGTTGGTTAGATGGAGAGATTGCAGATGAGGGAAGAATTAGAATTATTGAGAGAGTTGTTTCATATATCTCAATTGCACATGACAATAATGTTATGCAACATATGTGGGTGCAAGTTAAAGATGACATTGATGTTAGAGCTATGATGTCTTCACCAAATGATATTGTTTTGCTTTTTGTAATATCTTAGACATATTTCTCTATTAAGTATTTTTATTTATTGTTTGCATTATTGTTTTAGGCGAGTTTATGTTTGTGTGTTGTTGGGACGTGTTTATGTTTTAGGGGTGTTTATGTTAATTTTGATATAACCAAAAATTGTTATATATATTGCATTGCAAGGTTACAAAAACTTAAAGAAAAAAATTATCATGCAGAGGTTGCTCAAACATTGAAACAATTTTTTTCGATTGTGTTCGGGCTGACGACATATACTACATAATCTTACCATTTTATCAGTCGTATATGTTTATGTCCTAATACACTTGTTGTTGGGGTAACCCTTTTTCTTTCTTTGCATGTTATCATTGTGTCAAATTATGTCCTCTTAATATGTAGGCCAATATTCCTCATTTGCTACCATCAGAAAGCTATTGATGTACATATTCAATACGTTTATGACTTTGTAAATGACAGATAGATGAGTGGAAACGTCCTGACGAGTATATGAACACACCGTAGTGACATGGGAGTAAGGCATACAGAAGGCATAAAACTTGATACAATCGCACCAACTTGTATTTAAATCAACTCAATAGTCTCCATTCGACCTCTCTTCATGATGGTCCATTGGTTCATGTATATTGAAAGTGTGTTATAACGATCAATGATTGTAACCGTATGGTGCTAGCTTTGATAGTTTTCTCTTTCATCACTTTCATGCAGCTTACACTAGATAATTTCCCCAATCGTGACATTGCAATTCATTTTCACCTCTGATTGTGAAAAGTGATCCCAACCTAAAAAATAGATTTCTCTCAATACAATTGTTGGTAGGTTTCTAATGCCTTTGAAGATGTCGTTCATGGATTCCACAAGGATTGTTGTCATGTGGCCTCATCTACGTCCTCCATCAAAATCCCTTGTCCACTTCTCTAATGGAATGTTATCCATCCACCTTAATGCATCCACATTTGACAATCTAATTGTGTCCTGGTAATGTCAAAATGATGGTTGATTTAAAGTATACACTACATTCAAAAAAAATTCTAGAGCGTCTTATCTTTGATCCTCCGAATTTAATTTGGTGCAATGTGTCTAATGCAATAGACATGGTTAGAAGGATAATTTTACCATCTGTAATCAGGATTATTGTAAGCACTCTAAGTTGATGCATGTCTGAAATCAAACAGAGGTTGGATTATGGAGAAATGTGTGTTATGAAATTCCTGAGAAAGAAACTTCAACCACCAACAGTCCCTTATGCTCAAAAGTAAGTTAATAACATTATTTTCATTTCTTACTTTACCTATTTTTCATTCTAAATAACTTATTTTTAACTTTTTTAGTTTAGATGGTTTGTTCGTGGTATGACCAATGACATATGTCCTATACACTGCATTACGCAGTATCATAATCTCTTGGATCACCTTACCCCAAAATATGTATTACCACTAAACTAATTAATTAATAATAATTTATTTTTAATATTACCCATTTTATAATCTTATTTATGTTTCCTCTACAGTTTATTTGACGCTCATATCTGTGCACGGAACATCATCATGATATTAGATAAGAAGATGTAGTCGTTTAGGCTGCATGCATACCGATCATTAGGTTTACCACCATGAAAATGTACCATAGTGACCGTGTGAAATTGGAGTTCGACATGCATCAACAAATCTCAGATCCCCCAACATGCCTCAGTAGATGGCATTAACTTAAAATTAATGATCAATGGGGCTTTTACAATTAGAAAGACTCCTCTAAATCTGAATATCGTAAATTGAAGCACCGTAGTAAATGAGTCTTACGTGACGCTCTGTTGCCGACTAAAACTAAACCAACTAGAAATTATATGACTTGGTACATATGGGTTGCAATTGGGTTTATTAGTGAAGATATGTATCTATATGACCCACTCCAAATCACTTACACATAAGAAGCTTCGACGTCTAACCCCCCACAAAATTACTAGACCATTTATTCATAATCTGTTACCCAATAAAATTATTGACCATAAACACTTAAACCCACAATAAATATATGTTTGACGCCCAACCATAAAACCAAGAGCATACTCCATACCACCACAAATAAGATGCTTATTATCAAAATACCTAACATCCATTTCCCCCCAACACATCATCCTAACATATCTAAAACACAAAACAACATATAACACCAACACTTCCTCCTACCATAGCCAATATGCCAATATGTCACAACACCAAGACATGCAAATACCATTGGTTTTGTAAACACCACAAAAACCATTTCTTCCTTTCTCCAACAAATAATTCACACCAATGTTGCCCTTCAATCGTCTAGGACACACACCAATAACCCTATCAACACGAACCAATGACTATGGCATGGATCACGAACTCAGTTACGATAGCGCGTCTATGGATACACAAGACTTCTTATAAATGCAAGAACTTCTTAGGGATTCTGGTGAAAGTGATATTCCTGGGACCTCAAATCCTCAAATACATGGGGTGAATCAACAACGAGTGCAATGAGCTAGGGTAACTAGGGGACGTGGAACCGGTGACCGGTATGACCAACTCGGTCGTCCTTGTTAGTATTATTTTGTTTTCGACTATAAAAGTAATTTAAGTTAAATATTAATATTTATTATTTAGTCTTCTATTTAATTTATTATTTTTATAAAAAAAATCAATTACACAAAGTAGCCAATTGAATTGGCGCTAACACCAAAAGCTTGCATGAAGTCACCAGTTAATATGACTACACTACATGCAATCGTCAATCCAATTGACGACACCACTCTAATTTTTTAAGGCAAGATCAATTCACCTGGTGCCGACACTTTGTCCCAATTTTTTTCTGAAACTGAGGTATATTGATTTTTTTTAAAATATGAGTTAGTTTGGGAGTA